CGGATTCGTTGAGGCTCCGTACATTCGGATGATAGCGGAAATTCAATTCCCCAGCCAAGCATGTTAAAAGACTACCCTCGATTCATAGTCGCGAATCGAGGTTCGTTGTGGAAAGTTTGCCTTTGTGGATTAAGAGATCGGTTATGTCTAGGGATCCTTTGTATCTTAGAACAATGAATAGCAAATCTCTTAAAATCTCAACGGAAATTTTCCTTGCGCCTAACGTGATCATCCCACTCATTGGCTTAGTAGATAGTGGAGCCGCGGGATATGGGTTTATAGATAGAACCCTCATATCCAAGCTTGGTATCCCTACACGTCCCCCTCCCTACTACCCGCAACCTGTTACTTGCAGACGGAAGGACTTCTGATATCCTATCTCAGTATGCACTGTTAGATCTACGGATTAACAATCATAAAGAAATTGGCTTATTCTATATTACCAATCTTTCCGACGCGGACCCTATGATCCTCGGTCTTCCATGGCTTCAGCGCCATAACCCTACCATTAATTGGGCAACAATGACTCTTAAGTTCACGTCCACGTACTGCTCCAGATATTGCTGCCCAGTTAACTCTGCTGCAAACTGTCGTCCCCGATCGTAACGATGTGCCGACCCCAGCAGACACAGCGCTCAATCCAATACCACGTACACCCGTTAGGAAGTCTATTTTGAAGTCTACTTCGAAGAAATCTACCTCAACCCCATATCGTGCCTTTGCCGAAGAAGTCATCGACGAAAGTCTCCAGACTCCCTCCTTCTCACCCCAAGACCAGTCGATACTTTTGGAATACGATCCTCCGACTCCAGCTGTGGAGAAGAATACTGATAGAAACCTCTACAACATAGATCCTGCTGATCCAATGCCACCCGACTCAAAACCGCCGCTACACTCACCGAATCAACGGAAAAAACAGAGACCCGCGCCAAGATGATACCAAACCGGCCGATCCTGAAACCGGCCCCAGCGCGGATCATCGCAGGCTCTAGGATACACAAAGACCGCCACGAAACCAAAACGTTTTACCCCCATTGAACCCCCTATCGCTACAGAAGCCCTCTGAGGAACCGACTGACGCCTTACGAAATATCCGACAGAAAATGAACGATATAAAGTTCCTCACAGCTAATAGCTTTGTTCAATTCTGTAAAGATCAGGAAGCTTATATCACAAAAGTAACCTGGGATGAATTAGATAGAGCTTGCGAGTTACACCGTATAATAACAAACGATCCTATTCAACTACGTCGCAGTATCATGGAAAGCGATATCAAGAAGTTCATGGAAAAGACCGACCGACCCGTACCATCTACAACAGAGATTCAGAGCAAGCTACCACCCTGGCTTCGCGATCTGTTCGCTGGGTTCTTACCCTCCCTCGCCAACGAGCTCCCGCCACGACGCTCTTGGGATCACAAGATCGAGATCATGCCAGGCAAAGAGCCCCCGTACAACAAAGGTCGCCCAATGTCCCCAGCCGAGCTCCAAGTCGTTCGCAAATGGCTCGATGATAACCTAAATAAAGGATTCATCCGCGAATCCCGCTCCCGATCGGCCGCCCCACTCCTCCTAGCTGCAAAGCCCGGGGGGGCGTTCGAATTTGCCAGGACTACCGTGGACTGAACAATGTTACTATTAAGAACCGTTATCCGCTGCCACTGATCAAAGAAACCCTCGATGCCTTATGCTATGCTAAAGTTTATACCAAATTGGATATCATCGCCGCGTTCAATAAACTACGGATCGCGGAAGGTCACGAATGGAAGACCGCTTTTACAACTCGTTTCGGCTTATTCGAATCCCTGGTGATGCCTTTCGGCCTTTGCAATGCTCCTGCCTCGTTTCAGAACTATATCAATCATGTTCTTTTTGATCTCCTGGATAAGAATTGTACAGCGTACCTAGACGATATCTTGATCTACTCTGAGAATGTTACAGATCATCGAAAGCAAGTTCGCGAAGTCGTGCAGAGACTCATTGACGCTGGATTACAAATTGACATTGACAAATGCGAGTTCGAAACGAGGAGAACGAAGTACCTCGGCCTGATCATTACTCCTGGTGGTATCGAGATGGACCCCGACAAGGTTAAGACTATCCTCGAATGGAAGTCGTTAACTAAGCTAAAAGACCTCCAACGCTTTCTAGGGTTCGCCAACTTCTACCGACGCTTCATTCGCAACTTTTCTAAAATCACGGAACCTTTAAACCGCCTGCTGAAAAAAGAGAATATATGGAATTGGACTGCTGATCAAGAGAATGCCTTTGAAAACCTGAAGCATGCCTTTGCCTCCGCTCCAGTCCTTGCAATGTTTGATCACCACCGCCGCACAGTTGTCGAGACAGATGCTTCCGACTGGGCTGCGGGCGGAGTACTCTCTCAGTATGACGATGAGGGCCGACTACGCCCGGTTGCATACTTCTCCTCAAAACACAGCGCTGCCGAATGCAACTACGAGATCTATGATAAGGAACTACTAGCTATCATCAAGTCCTTAGAAGAATGGAGACCCGAACTATATGGAACTCAAGAGCCGTTCGAGATCATTACTGATCATAAGAATCTAGAGTACTTCACATCGACAAAGATGTTGAATCAAAGACAAGCTAGATGGGCTGAATTCCTGGCTGGTTTCAACTTTCGTATCATATACAGACCGGGTCTTAAAGCAGTTCGCCCCGATGCACTGAGTAGGAAAGCAGAAGATCGCCCTGTACACGCCGACCCTAATGACGACCGAATCAAGAATCGCTTACAAACAGTCCTCCCGAAAAGAGTATTCGACACCGCTGCATTCAAGAACCTCATCCGACAAACAAATAACGACATCGACCTCACCGCGGCGCCTATGGGTATGATCATCCCCGATACTGAGAAGCCGATCGACGATCTTATCGATAAAGCATACGAATCATCCGAATTGGTCACTACCATGCGTAAAACACTTCAGAACCCAACTGCTCGCCATTGGCCGCTATCGATCCGAAAAGACCTCCGAATCGCTCTTCAAGACTGTAGATTAATCAATAATAAAATTTTCTATCGCGACCGCCTCTTTGTTCCCCCCTCCGCTGAGCTTCGCACCCAGATCATATACCGAACGCACTCCACTGGTCCGGCAGGACATCCCGGTCGAGTTAAAACTATTGATCTCGTCTCCCGCACATACTGGTGGCCCAATATGTCGAGGGAAATCGAAACTTACGTACAAGCCTGTCAACTCTGCTTCCGAACCAAAGCCTCCCGTCTTGCCGCACCCGGATTCCTAGAACCCCTGCCAGTACCATTCCGCCCCTGGTCCGATATCTCCATTGACTACATTACACCGCTACCAATCAGCGAACGCTATGGCAAAAAGCATCAACATATCGTCACAGTTGTCTGCCGCCTAACGAAAATGCGTCATTTCATCCCGGTTATAGGACTGTCCGCAGAGGAGCTCGCCGATCGGTTCGTCGAAAAAGTCTACTGCCTACACGGTGCACCTGACAATATAGTATCCGATAGAGGTTCACAATTTATATCAGAATTCTGGAAGCACTTATCCGAGCGTCTATCGATCACTTTGAAACGATCCTCCTCGTTCCACCCCGAGTCCGACGGACAAACAGAGAGGATCAATGCCATGGTAGAACAATATCTTCGGGCTTTTATGAACTTCCACCAAGATGACTGGTACGATTGGCTCCCACTCGCGGAGTTTGCGCTTAATAATACCACCTCAGAGACTACCGGCGTATCCCCATTCTTCGCTAACTACGGTTTTCACCCACGCCTCGGCGTTGAGCCCTCTTCACCTGTTCCCCCAAACCTATCATATCAACGCAAACGCGAGTTCCTAAAGGCCAACGAGATTGCGGACCGATTTGATATCATCCTAACAAAATTGAAAGCCCTAGCCGCTCAATCCATTCAGAGATATGAAGATTACGCTAACAAGACTCGCACCGACGCCCCTCTATACAAAGAAGGTAACAAAGTATGGGTTAGTACTAAGAATATGAAAACCAATCGCCCGATGAAGAAAGGTGATGACAAATGGGATGGCCCCTATAAGATTCTAAAAGTTTATAAACGAGCCTGTCTACTCCAGCTCCCCACTAGTTTTAAGATCTTTCCAGTATTCCACAACTCATTACTCCGACCACTCCACCGCTCACCTGGACTAGCCGGTCAAGAAGCGATCAACGAAGCCGAATCCCGTCGAAACCAAGGCCGTATCCTAGAAAGAGATGACGAAACGAACGAGGAAACCGAGCGGTGGGAATTCGATAAACTACTTGACTGCCATAACGAGGACGGATTTCACTACCAAGTCAAATGGAAACATCACCCAGCATCTTGGCAACCCGCCGAAGACCTTCGCGGCCAAGAAGACACGATCATCGCTTTCCATTTAGCAAATCCAGATAAGCCAGAACCGCCCGCTTGGGTAGGCTTCAAAAGATCTACTACTCCTGATCCCCCGCTAGTACTTACACCAAGCGCACCCCCGAATCGAGGCCGAGGCAGACCTAAAAAGCTCCGGCAATTGATTACTACTCCCAAGAAAGTTCATTTTAATCCAATAGTAGAAATTAGAGTATTTTAGTGTTATTTTGTTTTCTAAAAGGTCAATTGGTATTGCGATCGTGGACCGATCGCCTTGAGCGGGGGGTACTGTCACGGCGCCAACTACATGATCTGTAGTTGCCTTCGTGCCTCAGGCACAGCATACTAGCGCGCCCTACTTCCTATAAGTAGGGCTTCACTCTTCCATAGCTCTTCTACCCTTATGGTACAATATAAGTCTTTACCCGTACCTTGACAAAAATCGATTTTTTTTGAATTTTTTGGAAATTCTAACTTTGAAAATCTACAATTATATTAAAAAAAAATACTAAAAATAATCCATTCATTTTTTTGAATAATTTCAATAATTAATTATCATATATATCAATTTCAATAATTTAACTTCTATATTTATCAAAATAATATATAGTTCAAAAGTTAAAGAAATGAAGGGTTTTAGTGTGTTTTCGGCTAGTGTGCGATAAGCCGGGGCCTAAACTCTTACAACTTGCGTCTTTGATGATGGCCAACATATAACTGGCAGATTGGTAGTTGGTACGGACGGTGCAAGATCAACTGTTAGAAGACTACTTCTAGGGCCTAAACAATCGTTGAACACACGACTTCCATATGCTGCTTCCTTTGTGCAAGCAAAATATACTCGAGAACAGGCTCTTCACCTTCGCTCATTCCATCCTCTCTTCCTGGCTGCACCTCATCCCGATAATCTGTTTGCATTCTTTGGGCTGCAAGATGCTCCAGATCCGGAGAAGCCAGAAAGTTGGACGTTCTTCTTTTTTATCTCATGGAATTCAAGTATTGAAACTCAAGATGCAGAATCTAAGATATTTGACAATGCGGGAAGGTTGAGACAAGTTCGAGAAATGGCCAAGGGGTATGCGGAGCCTTGGAAAAGTGCATTTGAATGGTTACCCGAAGATCAACCAGTTTGGTATTTTGGACTTGCTGTGTGGGACCCGAGAGAAGAAACTCATCGATGGGATAATAGAAATGGAAGAGTGACGTTGGCTGGTGACTCTGCTCATCCAATGACTTATCGTGAGTGCCAGTTCTCTACTTGAAAACATATACTGACCTATCGATAGAACGTGGTCAAGGTCTCAATCATTCCATTACTGACGCCGGAAATCTTGTCAAATTACTCAAAACAGATTCTTGTCAAAGCTCTGCCATTGCTAAGTATGAAGAAGAGATGGTTGCTAGAGCTGGCGAAGAAGTACATCTCAGTGTTATCAATACAACAATGCTACACGACTGGTCGAAGGTATTAGAAAGCCCGGTATTCAAAAAAGCTCTGGCAAAGCAGTCATGATCATTTTATTCGCTCCCTTCGACAAGATTCAGAGAGATGTTGCATGTTACTGGTATGAGAGATAATGGATTTGGGATTTGATTACCAACGGTCATGATCAACTTTATGATTAATTTTCAGGAGAAAACTTTAGAATCCTAAAATTTATATTTTATTCCAAATACCCAAAATCCTCGAAACTAACACCTGGTCTTTCTATCATATTCTTTTTCGCTAGTCAAATATCTATTCACGTATGCATCTCTCAATTTGTAAATATAAGAGCAATGATCTTCCAAAGCATAATAATTAGGTGGCATTATCCGAGCATCTCCGTCCGGTATGACTCTTAAATCTCATTTCCGTACAAATATATTATTCTCTAATGTATTCTTTTACTCGGAGACCTATCAAACACATGGAAGGAGTAAGAACTAAACATGAAAGAATTCACCGCAACAATTTTCCCTGCTTATTGACCCCCACATGATTTTATTTACATCCGAACCCATGGAAAAACCATCCCATTTTTCTGGATATCAAGAACACAGCCCTATCTTATTATTTCCCATCACTCTAATGTCGCACTGCATTCATGTGTGCTAATCATGAAACCCCCATGATTAAAAACGTGTTCCCCCGTATCCCGCAGAAATCTGACAATACCCCCTATTGGAATGCAAAACCCAAGACTCCCGGATTTCTCACCAACTTCATCCATGAATGAAGCCGAGCCACGAGGCCAAGTCAACTGCTAGTATTTCCCATCTATCTCGTGGTTGCACACCCTTTCCGTGCTTTCCGTACGCATTTCAACAAGGTTCCTCTCCCACGCAATTCAATATGGAAGCGAACGAGCCTCAACTTTGGGGGCTATTGATTGCATCACACATGAAATGACTTTTCAACATGCAAGACGGCAAGAAATAATGAATGCTTATGCTAAGAAAAGGTACTGTCATCTCGGGGCTTTCTTGGTCTCTTCTGTAAGCCTTCTTCTGTATCATGTTGTCTGCGCTCCATATCGTAGTTTCTGGATTTCTGTTGTCATCAAGCACTACTTGATGGTTAGAATGGCTGTTTGAGATCTACATGACAGGGGAAAGAAGTGCTAGGTACCAAATCTTTAGCACACGAAGCTTTATACGAGAAGTACCGCGCCCTACTTTATTGGAAGGAACGACGTTAATGTATTTACCGTATGCTCCCATCACTTTTCTCGTTTATCGATCAACCCTCGGGAGTGTTTTCGTAAGATTTCCTAATTGGAGTAGGAAGGGTGAGTGGCTGGGATTTATCGATTCAGCCCCCAAATTTCGGTATGCGATGCTTTGGACAGTTGAATGGGCGAATTGACGGCGCAAATAAAAGATCTGGGTAGATCTGTATTGTAATATTCCCAGTTAGGATGTGATATAAATGTACACACACACATGTATCTCAGTTCCATGTTGTGAAAGCTGCGCAGCCGTCGCTATTACAACTTGATATCCGTGATTTCGGTTAGACTCACGTTTTGCTTCCACCTCCTTCTCCCAGATGTGATGATGATAAATCTCCAATGTAAGATCTCACAATATGATACCCCACCGGATGACTCCTCGGATAACATCACATCCAATGTACATTTTAATTGACTATTTCTGGTATACGACATAGCACGATCCTGGAATTATATGATCTATGAATGGAAGAATGAAATTGGTCGACAATCAGGAATTTAGGTTCAAAAGATTTGATATCTATTCTTGCCCTCACTAATTTGCTCCAACAAGTATATACACAACACTAAAAGTGCAATGTAGCATCTACCAAAAACCACATAATTGTCCCTTTAGAGTCTATTAATAGAAATCAAACACAAAATATTTCAATCAGACGAGGCTTGGCGTAACTTTCACTCAGGTTTCGATTCTCCAATTTGTCGCGGGCGCTAATTGATGACATCCGTAACCTATCAATCCTGTTTTCGCAATCCAAAACATCTCCTAGCTCTGATTTTCTTCCATCCTTCTGGCACCCACTCATGCTATTGGGATTTGCCCAGGCTTTGAACTGCCGATAAGCCCTAACAATAATTTTTAACCCCCCCAAAAACGTGTCTTTTCAGGCATGATATACATCACGAGGTAACGTTCCATTGGTGTGGAGATCCGGCTGCTCACCGCAGTGAGCTGCGTACTACTAGAGAATTTTGAATAAGATTCGGAGGAATCCATCGGTGAGCATTTTGATAGAGATGATATTATGAGAATTTGGTGCCAATGGAATTCCTGCTTTTGTACATCGCAGGATGGCTGTCTGGAAACCTTGAATTCAGGGCTTGGAAGGTCGAATTTGTCACAATGAACTACTAATGATTCAGAAAGTAACTGGAAAGTTACGGCGTGATGCCGTGATGCCCGTTATGATCTCCAGGCTTGTATTTTGTCAAATTGTCCATCATTTGTCACGATATCGTACATTTCTCAACCTGGACACAACTGACTCCGTGGTTCTCGGTGGACAGGAGAAGGCAGTGCTAAATTGATGACCTATTCATCTCCTAGTTGCTTATTCATGATGATGTTTACTCAGCCAGAGCCCCATAACAGCCAGCCTCTCCATCAATCATTATCATCATCTTTTGTGTTTATTATCCAAATTGTTGTCAAGTTTGTTCAAATGGACAAAGCTTTCGAGTTAGTTCCTAGGCGGGGAGAGTGCGGAAAGGACAAGAATCGTTCGGCAATAGCCGTGTGTCGTTTGAGATTCAGGGGTGACGATGAGAGGGAGGGGTGCGTTCACGAATATCAGGTTACTGTAGACAGATTACAATAAGCAACAAAAAGATCTGAATTTCCAAAACTCTCTTATTAGTCATTAACAAAGTCAAGAATCGGCACATTCTATCTAATTGTTGTTTCCATTTAAGGAACCCTAAAATAACCTTGCGAGTTCGACAGAAAGACATGTACAAGTCCCTCTTCGAATAAATCTACAGTAACCTAGAAATCTATATTGTGCGCAACGTATGTACAACGAGGTCATCCAAAATGACTCAACACACCAATGTGAAAACTATAGGTCTACTCATTATTGGCGACAGTCATGAAATGACGTGAACTCGGGGTCGGGGAACTTACCATGCACACATGGCTTGAATGCACTGTAACTGTCAAACCATGCAAAGCAAGTAATCGTTTTAGTCTTTGGATATGAAAAACGAACTAACATGAAACGGCCTTGCGGTAGATAAGATCTGCTAGGATCTGGCTCTGTCAAGTATAACTAATTTTTAATAAGATAATCTCGTGTATGTAAGTATATTATTCATTGTGATAGTGGGGGTTTCTTCATGGCAATGTTTTTAGGTCGGACAAACACGGCAATCCCCCAAATTTCAAAAATATATTCACTTTGATTTTAATATAACATATAGTATATCCACCTTACGACGAAGTGAGAATCCCGATCCGGGGAATCCTAAACCAAACTCCCATTGGCATGTTCGTACGAATCCCTTGTGATTCCACAAAGCACAGCGCCTGGAAGTGCTCGTACTCTTTTAGGAATCTAGACGAGTCACAAGTATGTATCCACATATCAAAGCCTTCAGAACTTCCTCTTTGGGACTTTCGCTGAATGTTATGGGTGATGACTGGTTCCGTTAGGAGTAAGTTCCATCGCGTTTTGTTTTCGAATCGTGTCAAGAGAAGAAAAGAGTGATACCCTGGTACCGAGAGACATGGTGGTAAGCTTACGACGTTTCGGTTTGGATATCATCGCCTGTTTCCGTTTGTTCGCCTTTCCCTTGGGGCTTGGGAGAATTTGGATCTGGTAACTGAGAAGTTAGTATTTTAATTATATAAGGCAAGTTTTCAGATGCCCTGAAAATCCCTTAACTAGGAAATAGATTAGTTCCGCGCTTATTACCTTGGCTTTCATTAGAAGAGCCGTTGCAAGTTCAGGTTCGGGCCAAGCAACACGTAAACAAGAAACATGGACAAAAATGAACACACTTTCAACATGCGCATGTGCCACAGCTCTTACTTTTCTGAGTATTAGAAATTTTCCGAGAGAACCTTGAGTGGAACACTCGAAATAATCATGCATGCATATTACACAAGCCACAAACTGTTTGGTCAAAAGAAAGACTATTGCAACTCTTGTACCCACCGCACACAAATCAACCTCTCACGCGCTCTTATTCAAACGATCGAACTGGGATATAAATAACCGACCTGTCAATGGCCCTTGCAGATAGATTAGATCATAGGGCTGAGATACACCGGTGTGTTGGTGAACACAGAACCTTGTAGCCTCAAGGCTAACAGATACCAATTTCTATCGAGGTTGATTGGAGAGCGGAGAGTGAGATTCGTACACACAACATAATACAATCCTGGAAGGAAACGTGTTGTGGACGATCGGTGGATGGATAGATGAGATGTAAGGTACTTTACATGCATATTGTGTTGTATTGTTACTTTCCGTCTCTTTTTCACAATTATTCCTCTTAATTTTCCAGCCAAAATACACACGTACTATTATATATGCAACTCAAACTCGATTAGAGTTTTATTAACATTGAACAACAAGCTTCTTTGGCGCAGTGAATCCACTTTCTTTACAAGACATTACCGTTATGAGAAGTCCTCTAAATAGACGCGCCCAAATGATCCCAGTTCCTCCAAGTACCAAAGAAAGGGCATTCAGGGATCTCGGGGATGGGAATGGATTGTGATGTGATGTGATGGCCATGACCATGACCCTTGCCCCGCCAAAAGTACATGTAAGATTTAGCAATAAAACTCCACTCATAGACCAAAAAATAGAATTTAGGGCATGTAATCACAACTGCATTTTCCTATGTACAGTAACTCGAAGCCAAAGCGTACAAAGCTCGGTTCACGAGGGAGGCTGAGAACTTTGCGAAGTATCCGAACCAACCTCATGGACTATCTCACAACTGGGTATCTGACAATGCAGCAGATGTGGATGTACTTGATCTTAGTTTTTCGCGACTTCTAGAGTAAGTGCGAAAACGAACGAGGGTGATTATGGATGGGCAAACTAGAGAACTTTAGGATGCCATGAGTGGATTTGTCAGGATTTGATAGGTTATTTGTCTGGAGTTAATGTAGGTTCATTACTCAATTCCTTATTGCAGTATTTTTCTTACGCTCTTACCTACCTAGGTATTCACTGCCATGAAATACATATTCTGTTCTGTTAGCGTAGATTTCATATGGATTTGCATGGGTCTCGTGGGCTCTTCGACTCCCAGAGTTGCTAACTGGGGCCAGAAGAGGATGAGGTGAGGCTTTGTCGTCATGACGAGTTGAGAATGCGATACTGTTATAACAATTTGAGAATGCGGACGAGGAGGAGGAAAAGTATATAGAGTGGCATCGTTTCCTGTGTTGAGGTTTTTATTCCTATCATCATCAACAGCCTTCACTACAATACAAGACAAAGTTTCACATTACATCAAACAACCAGTCTCTTACTTGAACTCACTGTCGAACGCACTTCAATATCATATATTTAACAAGTCTCTCCGATTTCGATTTAAAACATTCATATCAATACACTCTACTGTCACATCAACTTATAACTCAATCTCAAAAATGGCCGCACAAACTTCCACCTCAATCACCTACTCCACATCTACCTCCTCTACTCCCCTCAACTTCGGACGAGGAGGTTACAATGGACCCAATAAGAACGACGAAGATGAAGACAGCTTCCATCCTACCATCTCTTCTCTGCGTCGCGGAGATGATGATGAGGAAGAAGATGGACGAGGTGGATACAACTAAATGTTCCCTTCTCTCATTTCTTTATCGTGATCGGATAACCTGATAAACATTTATTCGGTTAAACCCCTTCATCGCATCATATCCATATCATTTTTGGCGGTTTGATTTCGAGCGATTCAGCGATCCATCTTATCTGCATAGCACGGACGGCATATACAACTATAGACTTCTAGATTGGCAACACAGCACATTAAATATCTAGTCTCATGACTACATCATAGCATTTTCCGGAGTTTTCAATTCGCGTATATTTCTTCCTCTACACGACATTTGCATCTCCACCAGCTTTTACTTTCGATTCATTTCAAGATCAAGAAGTTTTCATCCTCACGGGTTTTCCTTTACTTTCCCTGCTCTTCTCTTCTTTCGCAACGCTTAGATTTATCAGCATATACACGGCAGCATACACACGGAGTTATCATTTTATTTGCTTTTTTTCTTCTTTATTTCAATTTTCTTCTAGCATATTCCGAGAGTTTCATTACGCATCTTCATTACCTTAGATCCAACATGTTGGGGCTGCAATATAGATTGGCGAGTTTGGTTGCATTGCAGGCCGCATGCACGTCGGGGGTTGGTGGAACAAAGTTGATAACCATTTGGAGGAGTCATAATTTGGGGGCGATATTAAAATTTAAAGATTGGGATTAGAGGGATTGGAGGAACGTCGGTTGAGGGATGAATCATGATGATACATTTGATGGAGTTTTCTAAACTTTTTTTTGGGCATTTCTGGTTGTTACAGTGCACTGCATTACATAGAGCTTCTTTTTCTTTTATCACTTTGTCGGGTCACACTTCTTGTATTATAATACATAAACATTTATGCTTAGCAAAGACATATCAAATCGATATTCTCATCTCATTTCTATTGTCTAACTTGCGAAAATGCGTCTTGAATCTCGTCCCGCGTCTACTTGCCAACACAAAATCTGGGGGCCAAAAAATCAGTCCACTGTACGTACGTACAAGATACGAGAGAAAAAATCCGTTGAACTTACTTTTCAAAAACTACGCCTAGAACTTCTTCAACATCACCAGCCTCACCCCTACCCGTAATTCGTGACAAGCAATTGGCTGCGGATCTGAGATGCTCAGCCGCCAAAACTATATCCGCTTCCTGTTCATGATCGACATGCTCTCGTGCTTCATTCATAAAGTCTAATAGATGGGCTGAGCAGGCTGTGAGAAGCTGGCGCTGACGTTCAGTAACACCGAGCAAATCCTCAAATTCAGTCGGAAGAGATGTCATATTGTCGAAAAGAGATACCATTTCGTCGACGAAATGACCAATACTTCCTTTATCCGTTAATGCCTGAGCATTTTTACATGAAATTGACATCAACGGAACGGGATATTGATCAAATCTGCCTTTCTGAGACTTTTTGAAGTCATTTATAAGTTCTGACAGTATTCCAGGGGTCACTGAATCAGATTTATTAATAACGATCATGGATTCCGAGGCTCGAGCCGCTATCTCGAATGTTTCATCATCGTAGCGAATTTCCCACCCGTTCCGAATATCTGACCACTCTATACTGGCGAGGGCAACGATAAGGTCTGACTCATTTGCCTTTGCTTTTGCTCTTCGAATGCCCTCTTGTTCTATATCCCCGATTATTGAGTCATTCTTGGCGCTTCCAATTTGTGAAGCTTGAGTTCTCAAACCGGCTGTATCTGCAAACGTGCACAGGTACCCCCGAATATCTAAACCAACCTCGACAATATCTCGAGTAGTCCCAGCTTCTTGACTAACAATAGAAGCTTCTCTACCAACAATTTGATTTAGTAAGGAACTTTTACCGGCATTGGGTGGTCCTAGTAGAGCAATCCTAATTCCCTTCTTTAGCAATTCACCCCGATGACTTGCTGACTCATGTGCGGCAATCAATTCTAACATATTCTCGACTTGAGCTGTGACATTTGACAATAGTTCTGCTGGAGACTCATCGAAATGTTGGTCCTCGGAAAAATCAATCAATGCCTCTAATTCCCCCCGCGCATACAACAACTGCTGCCGCCATGCTTCATATGTACGACCAAGCTTCCCGGAATTTCCTCGCACAGCAGCACGCCTTTGTTGCTCTGTCTCTGCAGACAATGTATCACTCAATGCTTCCACTTGCGCCAAGTCTAGCCTATCATTCTCAAATGCACGACGTGTGAATTCTCCAGGTTCAGCATATCGGATCTTCGCAGGCGAGATAGATTGTGGAATTGCGCCTAGAACTGCTTTAACTGTAGCTGGACCTCCATGCACATGCAACTCGAGGACGTCTTCACCAGTAACGGTTTTTGGCGCAGGGAAATAAAGAACTAAAGCATCGGAGTCGAGAATGTTTGGAATAGAGTTCGCCGGTTCATACAGTGTTCTAACAGCGGCATATCGTGGTTTTGGGATCGATTTAGATGGACACAAGCTTTGATAGATCTATAATAGTCAATAACAAAATCTCATCAAGTGAAAGGAAGGTACCATACATCGAGGCATGCGGAGCCAGATATACGTATGATAGCTATGCCGGCTCTGCCAGACGCCGTGGAAACCGCATATATTGTATCGTCTGCAAACTCATTTCTGCTTTGCGCTTTTGTATGTAAAAAGGTCTTGAGATTTCCAGATTGACCGATGGATATTGAGGTAATGGCGGGTCGAGCTGATGAAGAAGAAACCCTCCGGCTGGCAATTATATTAAGTCTGAAATAAATGACATTGGGCCGTAAGTACCTGGGCCTTGAAGGTACCCTTCGAAGCATTGACAAGCATCAACTTTGAGTAACTTCTCGATTAAGTTGTCAATTGAATAAAAAAGCCGAGACAATGAACAAAGTGCCCACTGAATCCCACCAGCTCGCGAGGACTGGAGGTTTGCACATTTGGTTTGTTTGTTCCACCGAAGAATGCTACCCCGCTCCCGGTGAGCTTGTCTGTTTCCGAGTTTGACTTTGCTATTCGTAAATAAAACGTGATATTCCATACAGAGCGTTCAATTTGAATTTTGTAATACATTTTCTACTATCCTTATATACATTGATACTAGTACTACAATTATACACTCACAGATCGTCAACATATATACAAAGGACTTCAACAGATTGGTTATTTGGCAGTATAGCCCTGGTCTTAAAATCCCCCATGTTCAATAGATAAGAACTCTGCGGCAAGCATGAGGAGGCTCATCTGCATCCCTACGTGCCATCAACAAACAATATGTTAACCACCCTCTCATATGAATTCTGAATAGTAAACACAATGCGTACCATCATTAACAGAACTTCGTTACCTTATATACCACTCCACATTACTAGAAACGCATCATATATCTACAAACCACTTTTGGGTCCAGTCAACTCAATTCGTCTTATATTACTTAAGCCTTCTCTTTGTATAACATCAGCAATTCATTGTTCGTTAATTGAAAGTAGCTGGTCTTCCGAGACCCCAAAAAGAGACTCTGAAAGATTCATAGCTCTCTCCTACACATGGGGTGACGCCCAGAATCAACGGACGATAGAAGTCGATGGGAAATCTATGTATATAACACGAAACTTGGAGTCCGCTCTGAGACATCTAAGACATCAGACAGAGGTTGTTCGTCTTTGGGCTGATGGTTTATGTATCAATCAATCTGACGTTGAAGAGAGAAACAAGCAAGTGACTCACATGCGGTCGATTTACTCTGCAGCATGCGATACTATTGTTTTCCTTGGAGAATCAAGTGAGCGGGCAGGGAATATCTTTCATGCGATGAGGGATTCGAAACATAAAGGGTTAGTAGATATGACAAAAGGGACTTTATCATTGCCAAATCTTACTCAATCTTGGAGGATAAGTCAAGACGAAATCAGATATTCAGCATTTGAAGTTCTTTGCCGTCCTTATTGGAGCCGGGTATGGATCTATCAAGAGATAATTGTATCCGATCGGATATGGATACAATGTGGAACTATAAAAGTTTCATGGGATGATTTTTACCATGCTATGATCGTAGTCCTAAGTACTAGCACAAGCTATTTTGGTGCAGGGTATGATAATGTGATCAAGAATCGTCTGGAAGGTTTCTATTGGGAACGACTTGAATATCGAAAGTCACTTGGAAATGACGGGAAATCATCACTACCACTGTGTGGTCCACCTCATATAACTGAAGATGGAAAACGATTGAATCTCCTTGATCTTCTTGTGACCAAGAGAGGTTCTATGGCCTCAGACAGTCGAGACATGATCTATGCACTCTCTGGCATTGCTAAAAGACCGAAAGGTACACAGCCATTTGCGATAAGTTATGAAAAATCGCCGCGCCAAGCATATTCAGACGTTGTCAACTATCTCATCAAGACTGACAAGAATTATGACGTTTGAGTCATGCAGAACAATATTTCAATCATGCCTACCATACTCGACCATTAGCGCCATCACGGATGCCATCATGGGTGCCAGACTGGACAACACGGGCACAATACAAACAAAAGATCGTTGACTGGGTTGAGCCTCTTGATAAATCAAGAAGTGCCGTCTCGAATAGTGCATATCTCGACGATCAAGGAGTCCTCGCTTGCGTGGGCTACAAAATCGGCATTATAAACCTAATTACTGACTTCCCTCGCGATATTCAACTAAGTGACGAAGGCAGAGTAGGTCGAATACTATGGAATGAATGGAAAGATAAAAAGCTTCCGGATAGTGTTTTGGAACTTTTCAGTCGCTTACATCCCTTGATATACAATCGAAGATATGCCGAAACGCTTGAAGGTACGTGTTGTTTGGTACCAGGAGGGACACAAACTGGTGATATTGTTTGTCAATTCATCGGGAGTTCACTACCCTATATTCTCAGGCCAATTCAATCGACAGATATCAAGTCCGAAGAAGGATGGAGAGCTTGGAAAACATTGCTGCATTTCTCTCGCTGGTGGAATAACTCGAGAGTACCAAGACAAGAACTCCCTACCAAATCCCTAGATGCCAGAATTTCAACCATTTTAGAAAACAAAACATCAGGATACCAAACTCTCGAAATTAGACATTATAATTTTGTAGGAGAATGTTTTGTAAATGGATTGATGAGCAATGAAAATAGTCAAACTCATCAACGGCAACATTCTCAAGACAAGACCGTATTCGCAATGCATTGAAAAGAACAGATGAGATTCGCTGGTAGACTGGTTTCGAGTTTGAAATCGATCTGTAATAGCTTCGATTTCTGAAGATTGTGGCTCTATACTTTTGACCAACAAAAAACATAAGGATCATGTCATATACGACGAATTCGCCGTCTGGATGAATGAATGGATGATTGAGGTCTGTCCCTATTTCGTCCGTTGCATCTGCAAAGTTCATTTGGTAAGATAACAATGCTCATAACATCAACGCGAGAGACACTTCTCATATTTCCACCGAAGGGGAATGGATAAGGTCATAGGCAATAACCAATTTGAAGCCTTCTTTCCTAGATAAAGCTTCATTGATGGTACTTGATAGCAGCCGGCAAAAGCCAGCATTCTCATTCGGCTCGTTTTGACAATATCTATTATCCAAATTAGTAGAATAACTGTGATCCTATCTCCTCTCCCCCTAGAAAATACAATGAATGTTTCAAAGGAGAAGAAATTATCGTAAATGTTGATTTTCATGTGAATGTGGCATAAGATCACGAGTTGGTTAAAGTCGCCTGCCGCGCAAACACCAAATCAAACCATGATTCGAGGACGAGACAATCGCGTCATATTACTACTATCAAAGCCACAAACTACAGTATCATACAACCTCAAGATACAATGTTTTTCATACCGTCGCTGTCAACTTAATACTTTGTGATACTTGAGGTTATTCCACTACATTTCTGCTTGACTGCAACTTCAGTGAGACTTACAAAATTTCCATTATCGTGGCAATGACGTCGTCTTCTGGCCCCGCAAGACCGGTATCGCCGAATAGCTTCTATGCTCTGAGCGACGACGAGGAGAGCGATTATAATACCGTTACATATACAGAATCGGGAAGAGGGGTCAAGTTACTGTTCTCCAAGAGCAAGGTAATAATTTCCAGCAGCTTGATGCTTCCAGCAAAGTGCGGGGTAGTTCAAGCAGCTTGTTACTAACATCACAACCACAACACCAGGTTTATATTCATCCTACTCCATCTGCGAAAGATAATATACCCGGATACATAGCTCTATTACAACAGAAGTCAACTCCAGATTCACGACCTACATCTTCTGCCTCTAAAGATGCAAAATCTAAGACCTCCGCCTCCTTACTCCTGGCATGGCTTCCAGAATCATCTCTTGGGGATTCCTTGAATACATATGTGAAGGTCGATCTTGCAGAAGACGATTCTCCACCTAAGCAATCGTATCTCGTACCACCTCCTCCAACAACCACCACCCATTCTGGGTCCGTCGGTCATTATGCCTTCGCTATACCCGTCTCGCAGATTTATAGCCTTCTCGTACGACCACCGAGCTTAGGATGGTGGTTTGGAAGTGTCATAATAAACTCTCGAGCAGGAGATTCCTTCCCTGCACTATTCTTTCATGACTCGGAATGTCAATCTACAATTTTACAAAAGAAGAGGAGGACGAGGGAATCATTCGACCCATTTGGCGCGAATGGAGAGATGTTTTGGGGTGGCGATGAGGTGTTAAGGTGGCTGAGACGATATGTTGAGATTGAAAGGAGTGGTGCAGAACCTAACATTTACTTGGTGGAGCCTTCGGCTGAAGATAAGGAAGCGTTTGGAGACAAACCAGTCACATCTGCGCTGGTGAGGAGACCATCAAGCAGTGGTGCTAGAGTTGGAAGTGCTGCCGGTACAGGTTCGAGTGCATATAGAAGTGCGCAGAGAGACGCTGGGATGGATCCAGTTACGAAGTTTGTAAAGGAAGCAGGTTGGAATCTGATGGAGAAGTTTAGTAAGGTTACGACATTTACGAGAAGGACGGCCGATTCAATTGTTGAAAATCCGAAAGTACCGCCACAGGTTAGGAGATTCATGAAGAACCCGGAAGTTCAAACAATCCAAGAGGAGTTTGATAGTGCTAGGATATACTTAGCGCGATGGGCTATGGGTATCGCAGAGCAGAGTGAAAGGGATAAAAATCAGAGGATATGGACAGCCAGGGATGTTTTAGAAATGGAGGAGACAGATGTCGGCGACTTCGAGTTATTGGAAACAGAAATGGGTTCTTTGACCATGAGGGAACAGAGGAAACCCGTAACATTCGGAGAATGGAACAAGTTTTTTGATCAACGGACTGGCAGATTATCTGTTACCGTAGATGAGGTTAAAGAAAGGATATTTCATGGTGGACTCGACCCAGAAGATGGAGTTAGAAAAGAGGCCTGGTTGTTCTTGCTCGGTGTTTATGAATGGGATTCTTCAGCAGATGAGAGAAAAGCTGTGATGGCAGCTCTACGAGATGAGTATGTGAAATTGAAGGGTGCTTGGTGGGACCGTTTAGTCGACTTGGGTGGTGAAGGAGAAGAAGGGGAGTGGTGGCGAGAACAGAAAAATCGAATAGGTAATAAAACTCAATATCCCCTCATGCTGAAGACTTGAAAGGGCTGACATATCCCATTTCTGGGGGTCACACGATAGAGAAAGATGTTCATAGGACGGATCGTAACATCCCATTATACGCAGGAGAAGATACGCCACATCCAGACCCGAACTCACCATTTGCTGATGTTGGTACCAATGTTCATTTGGAGCAAATGAAAGATATGCTTCTAACCTATAACGAATATAATCGCGACCTCGGTTATGTTCAAGGCATGTCCGATCTTCTCGCTCCAATTTATGCTGTCATGCAAGACGATGCTATCGCTTTCTGGGGGTTTCAGCATTTTATGGAGCGTATGGAACGTAATTTTCTCCGGGATCAATCAGGAATGCGTTCTCAGCTTCTCACTCTCGATCACCTTGTCCAACTTATGGATCCCAAGCTTTATCTCCACCTTCAAAGCGCAGATAGTACTAATTTCTTTTTCTTCTTCCGCATGTTACTCGTCTGGTATAAGCGTGAATTTGTATGGTTGGACGTTTTACATCTTTGGGAGGTATTATGGACGGATTACTTAAGTCAAGGGTTTCATCTTTTCATTGCTCTAGCAATCTTAGAGAAACATAGGGACGTTATCATGACACATCTGCAACATTTCGATGAAGTATTGAAATATGGTATGTTTTCATATTCATGACATAAGATTCAAGGGTGTCAAATACTAACGAGACATAGTTAATGAATTATCCAATCAGATAGATTTGGAATCCACTCTTGTTCGTGCAGAAGCATTATTCCGTCGCTTCCAGAGAACAGTCGAGGCTATCGATAAAAAGTCCAATTTCCCAAAGCCATCTATTAGACATCGTGCTACTCAAAGTACATCACAAGTTGCTGAGCCATTTAGCTCTACCAGTGCATCAAGTGGTACAGATATGGGGAGTGGTACAATCGAGGGTGCAAGAAAGGACAAAGGAAAGAAGCCAACCAATGGGGAATTGGAAGACATGTCTGAGAGACCAAAAGTTATTAGCAAGGAGCTGAGAGAATTGTTAAGCAGGAAAGTGATGATCTTGCCCAGGAAACTGGTCAGGAGAGAAGGAGAGGGTTTGGCCAAAGTGCAGAAGCAATAGTGAATTTATGGGAAGGGAATATGGCAATGGAAATATGGGTCAGGCGTCTGGGTCACGAACTGTACGTTCAATGAGTTCTTTGGCTTGTAATGTTTTGGTAGACGGTGAGTTGAAAGTATTTGGGGGCCATGCGGGTATTTTTATATTTTGGTCGAATGGAAATGAATCATCTACAACATCTCAGTCACGCTAGTGTTATACATGCATAATATATCATTGATATTTCCTGGCAGTGCTGCAACATTCTTGCAATGATTAGAACTCACGCTTCAGTATGCATACAGATGTTTATAAATTCTCGCATTCAATTTTTCTGTTCTCGCTCCAAATCTCGAATGAGGTAAAGATGATCTCTAGCATTTCCACATGTCAAATCGGCCACTTGTATAATCACATTTGTATTGAGATATTTAATACTTCCCACTTGCTCCTTGTTATTGTTACAGTTCTCTCCCCTTTCTGATACAAATGATGTTTCAACAAGCAAGATTTCAAAGACTGTAGTCTTTTGTGCTCCCTCCACCATTGACCTTTTCCTCTTGGTGAGCAATTTTCATGGTTCCTGTTGATGTGTACTCTTTCGTTGACATCCTGGCTCCAATTGTCAGTACAATTCTCATTCCGTCCCCATTTATTGTTTCCCAAATTGATCATTATAAATAAAGGATATAAGTCTAGGATACGTACAAAAAACTGAATAAATATCCCAACGTACTCGTTTTGCCTTCAGTACCGATAGATTCTTCTCTTCCGACTTTTCCCCTTTTATGCAAAGTTGGCGCAGTAGGATCAGATGGGGAAGATGGCGATGATGAAAGGGAGTAAATACCTGGTGGTATTATTACCCAATCATTTATGTCTTCCTCTTCTAATTGCTGTTGGGAATCATAATCAGGAGGAGAACGAGAACTGGTGTAAAATTCTAAAGCAGAGATGTCTTGAATGAGGGGGGAAAGTGGACGATCTCTGGTTTGAGGGACAGAAGTTTTAGAGAATTGACGGTGCGAGATGGGGTGGAACCATGGTTGGGGAGTAGATGGTTTCGTCGAGGGTGAGGACACAGAAGGGGAAATTGAAGGAGATGGTGGCGCTAGGGAATCAAAATTTGTTTGTAAGGAATCGAAAAAAAGTGCTTTGCAAAATGGTGGAACGTCAGAGGGTTCTTTGTTTGACGGGCTGGATGATTTGAGCTCGCGGTTGATTGTGGATGTGCTGCTATATTCACATTCATACGAGTTACGGTTGAAACTCGATGTAGTCGGAGGGGAAATGTGTATTTGAGCCGGTGGCGTAACTGGAGTGCGGGGTGGTGGACGAGTAGGAGGGGGAGGATAAGGAGGGAGGGTATCCGAATCTGAGGTTGATTCTTGTTCGTCTGAAGGGGGGAGGAATACCCAAGTGGGGGGTCGCGGTCGGTTGATTATCAAGGTGGCATCTGCAGTTGATGGAAGTGTATACGGCATCCTGATGGTGACTGGGGGGGTAAACGGCGAGGAAT